AGGAGGAGATGGGAGGAGGAGATGGGAGGAGGAGCAACCTGCGAAGCCGGGATGAAAGTTGTCTCTCTGTCGCATTGAGGAGACACGGGGAGTTGCAGCTCCTTCTCCTTGTCTCCCTGCCGGAAGAACTCGGCCATGCACCTCTCCGTCCACCTCAGCGCCAGCTCCCGGGGCTTCGCGGGGTTGGAGATGTCGCAGATGTGGAGGACAGCGCGCATGAGGAGCTCGGAGCTCTCCCGGTAGGCAGCGGAGCCCTCCTGCCTCGTCTCCAGCTTCTCCTTGATCTCCTTCATGAGGAGGAAGTGGCGCGACATGTCGGTGTGGAGGATCAGGTCGATGATCATCCTCCTCATCTCCCAGAAGGTCTCCAGCTCGAAGTTCTCGAAGATGTTGATGCTCGGGTAGGCGTCCATGGAGGAGAAGAGCTTGTGCAGGTGAAAGTTCTCCTGGATGCTCTGATCGTTGTGCGCCATCGCCCTCTCCGTGATCGCGTGCTTGTGGTAGTTGTTGTTGTAGCCGTCATGTCCCAGATCGTGCACGATGGCCGCTATGAGAATGGCCTGCCAGGATCGTATCAGGAGAGCAGGAGAGGAACCATGGAAGACGAGATCGCAACAGTAAGGGAGAGGTAGGAGGGAGAAGGAGGGATCAGAGCAGGAGATCAGAAGGAGGTAGAGGAAAGATCAGGAAGACGATAAGGTCCAGGACGAAGATAAGCAAAAGCAGGAGGAGTGTGAGGTTGGAGAGGACGAGGGTTCAGCGCCGCAGGACATGCGATGGAGGGAGAGGGGAGTTGAGGGGGAAATGTGAAGAGAAAAAGAGAGGAGAGTATTGAAGAGGAGGCGAGTGGAGAGGAGTGAAGAGGAGGAGAGAGGAGAGGAGTGAAGAGGAGGAGAGAGGAGAGGAGTGAAGAGGAGGAGGAGTGGAGTGGAGTGGAGAGCAAAGCAGAGGAGGTGGAAAGTGAAGAGGGGAGGAGAGGAGGCTCACCAGGAGTTGAAATCGGTTGACAAACTGCGACAGCTTTGCGCTCTGCAGCATGAAGTTGACGGTCTGCAAGACATCCGTGGCATGCAGCGAGTTGTGATAGGGAACATCCGCGTACTGCTTCTCAACGAACGAAAGCCATCGCTTCATCGTGTCCCTGAGAAGAAAATGCAACACTCAGATCCTTCTCCATCCTCCTCTTCCTACCCTCGACCTGAACCCCTGCCTTCCTGACACCGCCTCCCTCCCTCCCTCCTCCCTCCCTCCCTGCCTTGCATTCGAACAATCCAGATCCCCTAGCTCCGCACTTACGTGTCGATGTTGTACTCCGCCAGCAGCTCCCACTGCTGGAAGACATGGAGGCCCAGAGCCTGCAGAGCATGTCCTCCAGTCTTCTCATGAAGGTCGAACGGATCCCAGCTCCATGTCGCGATCCCCTTCATCGACTTGGCGATCTCAACTTCCTGCTCTAGTGTCCACACCGCAGGAGCCGGTAGCCCGAACATTTCCTCCTGCGACCGAGGTGTCTTCCTCCTGCACCAGGAGCTGGAGAAATCCTGGGAGAGAGGAGAGAGCTTCGAGTCTTTGGAGGAGGGCAAAGACCTGGTAGAGCTCGCAACCGACGTGAAGTGACTGAGGATCCATTCTCGAACTCCCTTGTCAGCCGCGGAAGTGACATCCTTCGTGCCAGCGATGGGCTTTTCTTCTCGCCCTTCGCCTTCTCCTTCTCCTCATACTCACTGTACCACATGGCGATCGCCTCCACAAGCTGCTCTTTCGTCAGGTTGTCCCCTCCAGCCTTCTTCGCCTCCTCCCAGACACTCTCAACGTCGGAGATCATCGGGTCCTCCCCGTCCTTGAGCTCCTTCAAGATTTGCGAGATCTGAGCGCGCGTCAGGTTGGACTTGTTCTTCTCCACCACTTTGTCGTAAAGAGTCTCGATTGTCCCCCTGCACCTGTAGAACAGCATGCACATCCTTGCTGCCTTCGCGAACTTGTTCACCTCCGACTTCGACTTCCCGTTGGCTCCCTTGTTTTCATCCTTCGGGTCCGCCACCTTGCTCACCCAGTTCATCACCTCCGGGGTGGGCTTCTGCCCGTTGTTCACGTCCTCCAGGAGGCTGGCCAGCATCTCGGGCTTCAGGGAGTGGTTTGCTGTTAGCTTCATGCTCTCACACTTGGACAAAATGGCATGCATGGAGGAAGACTTCTCGGACCCTTTGTCATCCAAGCACTCCTCCGGGTCGATCAGTCGCCTCCTCGTGGGCGAAGAGATCTCTTCCTGCTGACTCTGCAAGAAGCCTTGCAGCCCCTGCGGGATGGCGGCCACGTGAGGGTCTGTGACGAGCACCTTGAGGGAGTAAGCAACGATCGCTCGGTCCAAGGGAGCCAGGCAGTTGCACTGCTGCAAGAACTGATTGAGAAGGTGAGCCGCGTTGTCTGCAGGCGATCGGTCCTCTGCAATCAGCCCATGCTGTATCAACAGGGTGGATGGCTCGGGCTCAGGAACGCTCTCCGCCCTCTTCAAGAAAGCGCCGCAGATGTCATTGAGCTTGTTCGGCTTGGAGCTTGCTTCCAACCCGTTAGCAGAGCTGTTTGTTCTGGACCACTGGCCGGCAGTGATGCTCGAGTAGACGGCTGTTGGCGTAGATTCCGTGCTCAGGTTCTCCGTGCTGCTCTTCCTAGACAGCACGAGGCCATCCCCGATCACCTCCAGGTCCAGCTCTTGCAGCTTCTTTGTGAGCATAGTCGCACTGACACCTTGGTTGCTGTGCTTGCCTTGGAGAGTATCTTGCAGCCTAGATAGCTTCTTCCTCTGTTCCTGCAGGAGGCTTGCGGCCTCTTGAATCATGTCCTTCTTCCCACTCTCTTGAGGAACCGGAGCGTTGATCGTTCTTGCCTGCATCCCGTTCATCCTCTCATCGATATTGCTGTTATCAAGCTTCATTTTCGTCCCTAGCAGGCCATGCGTCTCCTCCCGAGGGTTACTCTTTCACACCGCTTGCTCCCAGGTAACTTGCTCCCCTCCCCTTCCTTGACCTTTATTGCTTCCCTGCAGTGTTACTTGCTCTTTCTTCCCACCGTCCCATCTATCTTCCTCTTCTCCTCCCCCTCTCTGCTCCTCTCTTCCTCTCTTCCTCTCCCCCACTGCCTAGCGCTTATAATTCTCCAGGTTTCCTCGACAAACTTTCTCGACATCAAAAAGTACCCCCCTCTCCGATTGTTTCTCTGCCCACCCCCCGTCTTTTCTACCCTACCCCCAATTTGACTCTTATTTCCGTACTCAAAACTACCCGAGGACCACCATGAAAGTACCCTACCACTAAACAGCCCGAAATGACTGCGTGGAAGGGGTCTAACCGAAGTGACTTCCATGAAAAATATATTTAAATCTACAACATTTTAGTCACCCTCCAAAAACTCCGTGCATTATGAATTCTTATGAATATAATATATATAATTATGCATAATTATAGTATTTTAATGGAGAAAAAGGTGCAATAACTCGCTAAAATTCATATTCGGCTATAATGTGGATGTTCGCCATTGTTTAACAAGTGTAATATCAGATTTTACCACCCCACCCCCTTCATGACAGAGAGAAACACGGGTACAGAATATGCCTTTCGATTGCAATCTTTCTAAAACTCTTCTAAAATATTATAGAGAATGAATTTTAAAAAGCCCCGAGGGTGGGTCATGGGTGATATCTGGCTATACTCCCTTAGACACATAGGGGTGGGGTAGGTACTTGGAGGGGGTGGAGGGTCATACTTTGATGAAAGGCAAAGTGGATTCTTGGGGTGGGGTTGTGGGCTCAGGAGCAAATAAAACAGAGGGTGGAGGGTGGAACTCCTGTGGGAGTAAAAGGGAAATACAAGAGGTAATGGGGGGGTGGGGTACATACGGAGTCCCCATGGGGAGGGGGGGTTGTAAAGTGTATGTACCGTGATATCTTTGGGGTTGGGTGGGGTGGAGAGGAAGGGGGAGGGGGGTTATTACACCCTCAATTATTTTTCAGATTTCAACATCAAAGATAATCTTTTCAAATTACAAGCAGAAAAATGGCTACTCCCCGGTTCCGATCGGACTCCATCGGATCGGTGCGGCCGTCCGAGTCACACGGCGGAGTCCGCCGCCGCCGGGGCCCGTGCGGCACCGTGCCGCCGCAATGATCGGATCGATCCGATGAGCCAAAGAAGCAGTTACTCGGTCACGGTAATCAGGCTACCGGCAGTACTACCGTACATGATCATGGCAGTCACGTCGCTCACGCCGGCCGGCGCCCGGGGCCGAGGGCCCGGTGTGCGGCTCACGGCGCCGCTAGTGACTGAGTACGCGGCCAAGCCTCACACCGTTCGTCGGACCGGCGTACTCCGGCGGTCACGGCGGCGGCGGCGCCCGGGCCGCAGTCACCCGGTGACCGCCGGGCCCCACTGAGTCCCGGATCACGGTCACACGCAGCCGCTGATTACTTTGACACACAGTGACAGTACAAGTCTAACAAACTTCAGTGTATTCCGTCTCTGGCCCCCGGCCGGGGCAGCCTGAGGGCAGGCGGCGGCCGCGGCGGCGGACCGGGCCGGGCGCCGGACCACCGTCACGCCCTCCGGCCGTCACTACGGCGTTTCTACTCAGCAGTACTGTCACGGGCCCGGGCTGGGAGGCGGTCCGCCTTCCGGAGTCCGTGCGGGGCCCGCGGGCCTATTGTGACACTGTGACAGCCAGTAGCCCGCCAGCAACGGGTGAGTACCCCCGTCCCCCCAACCAGTTTCTTAGGGGAGGAGAGGGCAAAGGAGGGGTACCATTATGAAGAGGCTCTTGAAGAGGGTGGGTACGAGCGCCAACGGCTATGGCCTGGAGCAGGAAGTGAAGGAAGAAACTGAGAGGAGGGAAGGGCAGAAGAAGGAGCGTTAAAGTTGCTGGAGGAGGATTCATATGAGGAGATCACAGGGATAGATGAGCTTCTTGGGTCTACGGCGCAGGGGTGAGGCTGGCGCAGAGGTGGAGAGGGTGACTCGGTGTTGTTTTATGCGCTTGTACTTATCTTCATGTACCTTGCAGCTTGTCTGCTCCATATCCTCAGCTCAGTCGTTAGTGCACAGACACGACGTAGCTAGACATGTAGAGTGTTTGCCTTAGCACCTAGATATGTCAAGTATGTACGTCAGCACGCAGAGATATAGTGGGTATACAGCCTCCAACTTCGCCGTCTCAGAAGGGAGCGGTTATGGATCAGACAGACAGCTGAGAGAGTGAGCGCAAGGGACAAGTGCACTTGACTGATGCTTTCGACCCTCTCGCAGAGACTTCTTTCTTCGCACATGTCACCTCTTCCGCGCACGTCAAATTCAGTCGCGTTCGACACAGGCAAGGGAGTCAACGGAGCCATGGGTGGCTGAGCAATGCGCAGGAGTCTCCGATTCGTCGCAAGACAGAAGGCGATCAAGCGTCTACTCGGTGGACTCAACCGTATGGCAGGACGACGTCGTTCCCCTCTACCGCCATAACGAGCACTTTCCCGGCTATACCGGACACGTTCCCAAGCTCAATCAAACCCATGGAACTAGATACAGCCACGCTTCCCGCATGGCCTTGCAGACTCCCCCGTCGCTTGATCGGTGATGCGCTGCTTGTGCTTGAGCTCGGGTGACGGAGAGGAGCAGGCCTCCCGTGATGTTCTACCAGGGCAAGAGAGCGCGCAGAGTCATCAGCTCCACCCACCTGTTGCCCGGCAACACCTTCAGCGGCCTCGCAAAACCTACTGGGGTGAGGAGCGGAGGGACGGACCCAGGCCGATGGTGACGTGTGACCTTACAGGAGAAGGGAAGGGGAGACAAGACGCCGGCAGAAGACGGTCTTCATACTTACCTTCAAGGCAGCCACGTCGACCTGGCAGCTTACTAGTAGGACCATGGTGAGAGATGGCGAGGAGACTGACGGAGGGTGCCAGCAAATCATTGTCCGCAAAGAACTACAGTCAGCTCCTTATCAAATCCGGCTCACCTGCCAAGATTCGATCGAACATCGGTGCTGCCTGCTCCATTCTCACATGACATGGAGTTGAACAACTTGTGCAAGATATCGGGGATAGGTTCTACTGGAGCGGGCCTCATATGTGGCAGACTACGTGATGCCGAGCAGATCCTTGTAGCTCGCTCTGTGCTGAAACTGTTGTGAAGGTACCTCGAGAGCTTCCCCAAGCAGATGACAGGAGGCAGTGTGACCAAGGAGAACGTTAAGGGAGTTGAGAAGGTGATCTTGGCCCTCGGATGTTGTGTGGCGGATGTTGTGAACGAGGATGGCAGATCGTACTGCAGCAGAAGAATAACGCTCTCCTTGCCTCCCGGGCGCAGTCCAACGAGGAGAAGAAGTATCAGTACAAACTGTTGCAGGTGTGTGCTCGTGAATGTAGACTCGCCCTCCTCGACATTGACGCTCTTGTCCGCAGGCTGTTGTGGGGCAGAAGAGACTAGATCAACTGCAGAAAGCAGTGACAGAGAAAGTTCGACAGGCTACCAACGCAGGGATATCGGAGCTGCTGCACATGTTCAAGCTCTACGACAGGTGGAGCAGGGCTCTCGAGTTTGTGGCCGTTGACTCACGCGAGAGCAGAGACGGGACGGGGTACATCACAGCAGACAAGTTCATGCACACCATCCGCAAGCTGGGGATCTACCTGAGCTCGACAGAGGTTGGTCATACATCGTGAGACACGGCAGGTTGACGTGAGGCAGGCTGCGGCTCTCTTTGGACGGTATGACGCGGACCAAGAGGAGGACGTCACTTTCTACGAGTTCCTCGACAACTTCCTTGGTGACCACTGTGATTCCTCTCTGAAACCAAGTGACATGATGTGCAGAAAAAACCGAAGAAGACGAGCAGTGAAATACAGTCGTTGACCTAGATATTCTCATGCAGTACTGTAAATGCTCACATGGAGTTCCGCCTCAAACTTTGAAGAAGGTCTAGCTTGTTCCGCGTTGTGCAGAACTTGGTGTACGCCTGCTTGAAGTGTGAAGAGGACGAATGAACATGGTTAAGCTCCGACCGCATTCAGTCTCGGATCTCTGTCAACGAGCTGCCTGTTCAACTCATCTACCTGAGACTATTCAAAGGCATCAGAATGCAAATATCAGCGCCATCACCATCACCATCACCATCACCATCACCATCACCATCATCATCACCATCACCAGCAGCAGCAGCACCATCATCATCATCGACACCACCACTATCATCATCATTCTCACCTGATCGATCAACTTGTCGTTCTCCAGGCTCGAGACTTCAACAAGAGGGTCAGTCCTCACGTCACATGCTCAAAGCATCAGGCAACGCACTCAGCCCGATGATGCCGGCATAGTCTTCCCTCGTCAGAACCTGCACAGCACCTCACCCCCCCTCACCACCACCACCATCCCCTCCCCGCTACCTTGGTCTCCTGGTCCTCGATATGGATCGATCCCTGCTGCACAGCAGCGTCAGCAAACATCCTCAGCCCGTGCCCGGCAGATCCAACCGACGGCACTGTCTCCAGCTGGCTCGCCTGCACAGCCGTCAGGACGCACGAGGAAGCGTGAGGGGTGTTGGGACCTGAACTTCCGTCTGACTCTCCGTGGTCGCTCGGGGCTTCACCTCTCCTCCCCTGAACTGCGCTGCTCTCTCCCGGTAGCGCCGGGGCACGTGGACGAGCCGGATGCCCGTCACGTCCCTCGTCCACACCCCCCTCCTGAGAGGCGACTGCGGGTCCAGCATCTGGCTGTCGAGGGTGAAGAGCTTCTCAAGGACCGCGCCCTGTACGACGATGATCGTCCTCAGCGTCTCCTCCGCGTCCAGGCTGATCACCGTCACGTCCTGCAGGTCTCCCCCAAGGGCAGAGGAGAAGTCGAGCTCGAGGTCGAGGCGGAGCCTCTCCGACGCCTTCTGCTCGAGGAACTCGGTGACGTTGAAGGCGATCTCCACGTCGATCTCCGCGCAGTTCTCTCTGTTCTCGTGATGCAGCAGGTGCGACGTCGCAATCGCCTCATCACCAGGCCCCTCAATCTGCAGTGCGCGGAAGGAATGCGGCGATTTCTGCCCCCCTGGTTTGTTCGAGATGGGAGTGGTGAGGGAGAAATCAGTTGAGCGCATGGGGGTGGAGGCAGGAAGGCTGCTCAAGAAGCTCGAGAGATTCGGCATGACCGGCTTCCCGCTACTGATCGTCATCGAACCCCGTGATGATGAGTCGCTCGGGTTGTCGTCCAAGAAATCCTTCACATCCTCGTAGGCCTTGGAGTCCGCATGGGAAAAGAGGAAAGACGACCACAGAAATGGAAGGCCCTTCTTATCATCTCCTCCTCCTCCTCCTCCTCCTCCTCCTCCTCCTCCTCCTCCTCCTCCTCCTCCTCCTCCTCCTCCTCCCTCTCCCTCTCCTCCTCCCATCTCTCGAAGCATCGCTTGCAGTTCCTCCATCATTGTCGGGCCTCTCGGTGAAGTTCCCGGACCTTCCGACGCTCAGGCTCGGAGGCTCCCCTGAGGGTAGGTAAATGATTTGAGGGTGGGGGTAAAATGTCCACAAGGGTGGGGTGGTATCTCGGATTAGTTGTACCCGGTCTTATCTCTGATAGTACTTGGTGATGTGTGGGTAGGGTGAATAGGAATACAGGGGTCATGTTGTGTACCCCTGGTCCAACCTGTCGATTCCCATAGGGGTGGTGGTGAGTGAGCCCGCACAGGTGCGGGGCGAAGAGTCATGGCGCGGGTAAGAAGGGAATGGGATAGTAGTAGAGGAGATGACAAGGAGTTTATGTTGGAAGAAGAGTTGATGTTTTCATGCTGACAACATGGCGATTTGACTGTTCTGTTTGCTTTGGTCTGCGTCTGTGAGTGACACAATCAGCTTCAAAATTCATTGGTGTTCATCAGACCCGCTGTTGAGACTGCCTTTCTGCATATGACCGATCGATTGACTTGATTGATTCCTCTTGTTCTAGCATAGCTCAAATATTTCATTGAAGCTGTGGATGACTCCCATGTCTTCTGAACAGGCCTTCTTGTACGGATCAGTTCCGCAAGATGAGGTATCAACGGCAGGGTGGAACTAATTTGACTTTGACCGACGCTCGATGCAGGTCTCGTTTCGGAGGAGAACAGGACTGAGCACTATGGGGAAGCGAGTCAGTGGAGAGGCTTTTTGACGCCATGGGTTCTAACACCCTTCCAACAGGTTTTGATTGGATGTGTCGGGGCACTATGCATTGTATCTGCCATCCTCCTTGTAGCTCGAACGTCTTCCAAACGCAGCTCTCTCATGGAATTTTTCGCCTATCCTTCAGAGGATGTAATGGACGAGCTGATGCTTCATCTCCTGATCTCTCTTGCTTGATTCTTTTGTTCTCTCCGCTACATTCTCTCCCCCTTCTCAATTTCCCCCCTTCGCCTCTCCCTGCGGATTGAATCGCGTCTCATGATTGGCAGACTAACACACGCTTGTTTAGTCATTCCCCTGGAACGAGCTGAACTCTCCGTTTGATTATCGTTATCAGGGAAGGCAAAGTCCACTTCAAGGGTATTTGTTTTTCCTCCTTGTCAACTAATCCCTCCCTCACTTATTTGTGAAGGTATAGCAGCGAGTATGGATACGAGATTGAAAAACCAGACCCTCTCGAAGCCTACGGAGGGAACTGGCCGCTCTATTCACCTGAGGCATGCATCCCACAGGTCCTGCCGTTGCTCAGATTTCAACTTGGGTTGTGACTGTTGGGTCCCGCAGACTTTCCCCGAACTCCCGCAAGGGTTCATTTGTTCTTCGGATGACTATGGAGTGTTCTTGGTCAGTCTTGATTTCTTTCCTTCTTCTCGTCTGAGTGCTGGATGCTGAAACTCACTCAGCTGGACCCATACGGCAATCTTTACGGTCGCGGAATCCAGGAGAGGCTGCGCAGGGTGCTTGCTGCTGAAAGGGAGAGCATCGAGAGGGTGGACGCTAAGATCCCGGAGAAGGCCGAGGAGCGGCATAGAGGTACACACAGCTGTTGAGACTGTCCTTTCCTCACCCTGTCCCAGCCAACTGGGTCTCTCCCCTAAGCTGGGTTGAACCGTCCCTGCTTCCCAATCAAACGGAGTGCGAGGAAGTGATCAAGAGTTTCTACGAGGTGCGCTGCTAGTCTTTATTCCCGTGCTGCCAACTCAGCCTCGGTGTAGTTCACATCATCTCCCATGGTTGACGACCTCTCCAACGCGACATCCCTGCTGTCCAAGGACTTTGTACTTATTCCTGCTCTCCTCTTCCTCCAAGACTAACGGGGTTGTAGGCATTCTCAAGCACTGATGTGGCGCTTGTTCCTGGCTGCGTGGCGGAGACGAACGGAAAGCTGGTCTGAAGCCTGTGCGTTCTCTGATCGTTCTTCTTGCTCACCTTCCCATCAGCTCGTCGGACCAGACGCCTGGGCAACTGCCTTCGGTCAGACTGTGGATGCGTTTGGTAACATCACCAGCTCTCTCGCTGGGAACATCAGCTGCAAGGTTGGTTTCCATGTGCGATCAGCTCAGCTAGCTTGATGCACTGACCTCACCCTGATCATGCACTGACCTCACCCTGCAGCCGGTGAAGAACCCAAAGGATGCGCTGGAGCCATACATGTTCTGCGTTGCCAAGCACATTTGCACCTTCGAGCTCAAGAGCGTCAGCAACTCCAGCGGTGGGTTCTCCCGCAGCCCCTCGTCCGTCTCCTCACTGCTTCTTCCAGGTCTTCCTGTCACCCTGGAGGGTGAAATCATGGACACCGTCTGGATCAACGGGGAGGGTCACATTGTGAAGCTGCACTCCGATTTCGACCCGCGCTTCTTCCATGTGGAAGGTCAGAATTCAACAGCGCCTGAGGATAAAGACGCTGAAGCCAAGGCTCTGATGAAGAGCATCGTAGAGGGAAAGTAAAGGAAAAGCTCCTGTCGCCGCTGTGCCCCCGCTTCTTCTCCCTCATCCCGCTCCACTGCCTACATTGCGCTTTCCACTGGGCCATTTCTTGTCCACAGTACGTCTAAGTTGGGGGTAGGGGGTGGCAAGTACCGGTATTTTTCAGTGGAGAAATCATTAATAGAGGGGGGTGGAGGGTGCAATGCATCACCTCCTAGTCAAGAAAGATCATAATTATACCTATTATACATAATAAGGTCCACAGTGGGGTTGTCCCGGGGTGGGTGGTGACAAATTCCATTGAGTACCGGTAGTTTGATCTGATAAAGAGGTGGTAGGGGTTCAGATATGATGAAAGCTCCATGGGGGGTGTGGGCTCGCCCAGATTGGAAGAGGCACCTTGGACAAACGAGGGTAGGGGTATCTTAGTACCCCTACGTTTCACGTTGTTGAAGGGGGTTATCAAACAGGAAAGTGTATTTTGGGGTGGGGTAGAATTGGATGGCTCTTCCATGGGCGGTGGGGAGGGCGGGGAGGATTGAGGGGAGGGGAGGGAGAGAAGAGGAGGAGGAGGAGGACAGAGAAGGACATTTGGATATACTGATGAAGATGGTCCTGTACATGGCACTATAAGACTGCGATACCAATGAATAGGTCAGAGGCAGGTCAGAGGAAGCGGTAGCGTGATGTGGCACCCACCATGAGGTAGGAGGAAGGGAGCACAGCCGATTTGGGAGGACAGCAAAGTCAATGGAAATCAGTGAAGAAATGGGAGGAAGTAGGAAGAAGGGTAGAGGAGTAGGAGAGTGTCAACATCAGTCATCATGCATAATGTTGTGTGGACTGAATGCCTGCCATCGCACCAAAATTTCCCGATGGAAATTTTTGAGGGATATGCATGTGGGTGACGAGTAGAGGAAGAAGCAAGGAAAGATGGCAGATACTAGAAGCAAGGAAAGATGGCAGATGCTAGAGAGGAGGATTCGATCTCGAGCGCATGTGCACGGTCCAAGAGATTTAAGCACCAAAACCATTCCACATGCATATCAATAGAGCAGCCGTGAACCTAGGGCTCGACCCTGATCAAAGTTGCAGTTTCAACCAGCATACGTTTCATCAGAGATAAGACGTTGAGAGGACACGGATGGAAGTATTTGGAAAGTAGCTGTGAAGGAAGAGAAAGTAGTTGTGCGAGCGTGAGGACACGACCATGTCAAGTTGCTGACTCGGCTCCTGCAGTTCTTTCGTGACTGGTGCGCGTGGGGGGTTTCAGACTTGCTTGGGAGGAGTGTATGATATAAGGATCCACGGACCTTGTGGGTAGAGACAGCATCCGTTCACGATGGCAGCGGACAAGTGGAGCGATCAGATCAGGGCCTGTGGCTTGTTCTTCATCTCCATCGTTGTTCTCATGGTTATTCCCCTCGTTTACCACTGCTTCGTCTTCTTGACTGCGCTGCCGCTATGGGGGCCGAACCCTGCCAGCTGCGTCACGCTGTTGATCTGCTTCCACATCCTCTTCATCCTGCTGCTCGTGAGCTACTGGAAAGTGATCTTCACAGACGCCGGTGGGGTGCCGTACGAGCTGGACGAGGCGTGGATCTCAGAATTGAACCTCGCTCATCGATTTGGTCTGGAAGCTGAAGTGTCAGAGAGGGTGTCGGACAAGGACGAGAACTCTCCTCTCACTGTGCCGAGTGCAGAGAGGAAGCTGGATGGAAGGCAGCGATACTGCCGCAAGTGCAGGAAGTTCAAGCCTGACCGGGCGCATCACTGCAAGTACTGTGGACGATGCGTCTTAAAGATGGACCACCATTGTCCTTGGGTGAACAACTGCATCGGCTACTGCAACTACAAGTACTTCATTCTGTTCTGCTCTTACGCCACCATCACCTCCTTTTACGTGGCCTGCACCATCTTCATCGGCTTCATCACAACCCTGATCGAGCGGAGGCCAATCCAGTTCACCGTGGTCGAGTTCGAGTACTTCGTTGTGTTCTGCCTCATGGTGGTGAGGGCCCTGACAACGCTTGATGTTGTGATGGGATGCTGATGTATGCTTGCAAGGCTGTCACTGTGGTGCTAACGGGATTCACTGGTTTCCACTACATGCTCCTTCTCAAGGTGAGGGCAAAAATCTGCCGGATCTCAACGTCCAACTCATATGAGACATGACATTGACCTTGCTTGCTGTCAGAACATGAGTACCATAGAGCACGTGGAGAAGAGAGACCCGACCAAGAAGGATCAGGTTTGGACAGCAAGGGAGAGAGCAGGAGAGGGCTGACCTGTCTGTGCAGGTCAACCCGTTCGATTTGGGGAGGGAGAAGAATTGGAGGCAGGTGAGAAAGGACTTACGCTGCTCACTCCCCCTGCCTCCCCAAGGGTTCCTCCCTCCCTTCCTCCCTCACTCCTTCCCTCACTCGTAATCCCTCTCTCACCGTCCGATCATACTTTTCGTGAAACAGGTTTTCGGTGACGATGTCTGGACCTGGTTCCTGCCCATTGCACCGCCCAGCAGCAGCAAAAGGTTTGACTGACCTCACTACCTCTTGTCATTTCCTCCTTCCATCCTATTCCATTTCTTTTCCTCCACCCTCTTCACCCTCACTCCTTTGTTTCTGTCCTCCCCCCACTCCCCAGTCTCTATACATCTCTGCTGCGACTGTCGTTTGATTCCGCTTTCCTCAGTGTCGGCGACGGGGTTCATTGGGAGACCAACGAGAATCTCCAGCAGATGGAGGATCAGGCATAGACCAAACTCGCTGAAACTAGAGTTCAGATCTAATAAAATCGCACAGCTGCACTTCCTCATGCCAGATCTCTTGTTCTCCAGAGTTGTAGCTACTGTCCCAGAGTTGTAGCTACTGTAGCTACTGTCCCAGGTTTGTATTCCTGTCCCAGGTTCGTAGCTACTGTAGCTACTTTCCCAGAGTGAATAGCTGCTCGTACTCAGTGCTAGGAAGGGAGGGAATTTGGGAGTGATTTGAAATGGAAACTCATCCATTACACTAACCCACACTACACAACTAGGCTATTAACACTAACATGGAAACTAGAGGAAACTGGTACCGGAGCACAAACTTTGTGTCCTGTCAGATGATCGGTGATGGTAAAGTCGTGCGACCTTGAGCAGAACATCATTTTCCTGGATTTCGCCTGAGCTTCGGAAGCAAATCAGTCCCCTGGATCTCCTTTCCAATGCTTCTGTTGTAGTACATTCGCGCTTTCCCGAGGTTGCCAGCGTCACTCAAGCTGTTAAGCGAGGATGAACGCCGCATTATCCTTGGAGCTTCCTCAATCTTCTTGTCTATGTCTGGGGAAGAGCTAATCTTTTCTTCTGCCTGTAAAATTAGGTCGTCTAGATGTGTTTCTGAACCCCACGTCCTCATCAACGTAACTCTCGCAACTGGGCTGTCAACCTCTGCCATGGAGGAAAGGGATGAGCAAGACGATGAATACGATGAGTGCATGTCCCTTGACCTGCGGAACCGGCTTGGAGGTGGCAGGGGAGGAGGAGAGCCCTCCTCTTCTTCATCATCGTCTTCAACCGGATGGACGAAAGGAGTGATTTTCTCTGACAAACTCCTTGAAAGCGATGCGCAGAGAAGCATGCTCTTTGCAGGCTCAGCAGACGAGAAGAACGATAAGGTGGGAGAGGAGGGAGACGACGATGACGAGTGGGGGAGCGAGGGAGCGAGGGCTCGTGGTGCATAGTCGTCCAAAGTAGCTGCCATGACAGCAGTCTTGCTTCTTGCCTGACGATTGTGGGGTATAGGCCTGTATACCCCCACCCCCTCTAACTTTTCCAAATACCTTCACCCCCTCGGGTCGGAAAATCACCCCCACCTACTTTTTAACAATCTTTATCACGGGTACAATTCACTTTTCTTAGTACCCCCACCCACTATTTTTTCGATGACAGTCCCTTGGGCACCGCACCACGGAGCCGTGCCCGACCTCCTACTACCCCCCCACCCCTCCAAGTCAGTGTGCTTCTTCAGTCGTACCCCTACCCACTCTTTTCAGCTGTTTACAGTGACTAAGTACCCCCTACCCAGCTCTTTCATCTCACCCCCCACCCACACATTATAGGTCGTTCGACAGGCTTACATGCGTCCCCAACATGATAAAACTTGATCGCAACCAGTAGGTGGGGTGGTGAGGTTAGAGGGGTATCTACCGGTGGGTGGGGTAGCCACAGACTTAGTCGCTAATCCCGTGGGGTAGTAAACTGGCAAAAGTAGGGGTACCCGTAAAAACAAGATGCGCGGAATCTCAAACAGGGGGATCATGTTGATCTCCAGGGGTGGGTGGGCGGAAGGTTGGGGGTTGTATTGGGTCACTACACGAGAATTCAGGGTCACGGATTCCCGTCAGACCTGAAAAGAATCGTTTTCAAAGTCACGTCGTCAGAAGATATGAAAGTTATTGTTTTGAGATATCTTGAAGTTTCGAAAGTGGGTAGGGGTAGTCATTATGACCTATTTAGGGGGGTCAATTTTGATCGTTCTCGGTACAAATTAGATTGATTTCCAATCAGGGTGGGTTATCACGAGGGGGGTGGGTCATCAGGTCAGCGGCCCCCTTTCACCCACGCCGACACGACATTGATCCGGAAGTTGACCATCACTGCTCCATCACCCCACCCTATTATTATACCTATTATTAGGGGGTGGGGTGTACAAGGCAACCACCCAGTCACTGAGATGAGTGATTTGTTATTTTGAACGGTGAAAAATATTTCGGAATGAGTCCCCACCCCCACCCCCTTTCTTAAAGGAAAAACAACCCCTACCGTACACAGCCGTCTGTCACACAGCCACCTGTAACGTGACTCCCTTATCATGTCACGGTTGCAACGCTTACACGGCGGCCCGGCCGTTTTTTTGGGGGGGGGGGGCCGGGGGCTGCCCGGCGCGGCCATTCCGGCGGCGGGGTGCCGGGCCGGCGCCATTCGGACTCGGGAGTTGACTCATGGTCCGGGCCGCATGAGGCCGAAGTTACTGAGTACTTGAAGTTTCGGCCGCCGCCCCTCAGAGATCAGAAAGTCACTGAGTTCAACGTTACATGCTGTTTGTTTACTGACTTGACATTGGCACTGACTTACATCCTACTAACTCCGACCCTGACTCAGTAGTCAACTCCGGCTCGCGGGCAACTTGTACGTCTGGGTGCTGCAGTTGAAGGAGAAGTGCCAACGATCCTGCTGAAGCCTGTCGAAGGTGCGAGGAGGAGAGGGAGGAGACGGTCAGGAGGAGGAGGAGCAGCAGCAGAGGCTCACAGGGTTTCCGGCACGATGTACTGCTCGAGGATGAGGAGCCGCATGTGCTCCTGCGAGATGTCCGCACGGAAACCAAGAACCTGTTGGCCAGGATCAGGGTAGGAAGTGAGGAGGGAAGGCAGAAGGGAGAGGGAGGAAGGGCTGTGGACAGGGAAGAGGGAGCGGGATGAAAAGTACCCGATAGAAGGCGTCCCCTCGCACGACGATGTTGCTGTTTTCCTCAGGATCGACCGTCTGTTTGATGTCCTTCACCAACCTCAATCGCCTCTCCCTCCTCATGACCTGGTCGGGCTTGTCAAGCACAGACTGCTTGCCCCTAGGGTCGCCCCTGCCAGCTCTGATCAAGGAGGGAGGATGGAGCAACGAGACGCGCTGACCTCGCCCTGTCGTACACGTGGACCTGCCCTCCCACTGCATCCTCGGGGACGGAGAGCCAGATGATATCCACCTGCTCAGGCATGAGGGCTGAGGAGCGGACAGCAAGCCTTGAGAGCGGAGGAGGAAACGAGAAGAGGAGGAAGCGGAAGGGAAGGAAAAACGAAAAGTGGAGGAAGCGGAAGAGCCCATGAGCAAGGCTGCCTACCTGACTGGCTACATAGTTTCCTGCGGAAGAGTTGGAGAGCGGGTAGACCCCCCGGTAGGGTCTAAGAACCTCCTGCTCATGCACCCGTGAGGTCTTTCTTCTAACGCCATCCCCCCCCCGCCGCCCCATTGTCTTCCTTCCCCCCCCCCTCCGCCTCTCCCCCCCCCCTCCTTCTCCTCCTCCTCTCAGAGGAAGTAACCGTCTTCAAGTCGTTGACCCCTTTCAACGAAACCTTGATCGCAGTGATCAGACCAACTTCGCAAGGAGGAGGCCGCATGGCTCACCGAAGAAAGAACCCAGGCGTTTGCGTCCGAGATGACCGCTCGGTCGAAGAAGTTCTGCCGGCGTTCACATGCTCAGATCTTGTGAGCTCCCTCCCCCTCCCTCCCTCCCTCCCTCCCTCCCTCCCTCCTCCCTCTCCCTTCCTCCCTCCCCCTCCCTCCCTCCCTCCCTCCTCCCTCTCCCTTCCTCCCTCCCTCCCTCCCTCCTCAATCATCTTCTTCTCCTCCTCCTTCATCCTGCCGCTGCTTTCCCTCCCCTCGCGCCTTCTTGGCCTCACCTGAAGGTCCTGGAACTTCTCTCCCTTCTTGAAGTGCTCGATTCCTATCAGAGCACGCGAGTCAGCCCCCAAGGCCCTCGCAAGAGCTCATCGACCAGGTCCATGGAACGACAGGCGGCACCCGGAAGCAAGGTCGCCGTTGAAAGGATCTGCAGGTGCAGCTGAGGGCCAGGAGGGAGATGGGAGAAGCTCCTGACCTTGGAGGGGATCAGTCCAGCCCTTGCGACTCGCTTGCTCGTTGACCTGCTTGAGGACTTTGGACCCCAGGTAGTACTCAACCTTTACACCGTTTCAGACGCAGCGCTGGCGGACTGCCGGCAAACCTTGGTGACCAGGGGCTGGGAGTCTTGAGTTGTAAAGAAGAGCTTCTGGTTGGGGAAGAAAGCGACTGTGACCTGCCGCGGGAGGAAGTCGAGGTGAGGGAGGCCCTATAGACATGCGATGGAATGGGAGAGACGGGGAGGCGGATGGGGAGGAGGAGGGAAGAGGAGGAGGAGGAGGAGGAGGAGGAGGAGGAGGAGGAGGAGGAGGAGGAGGAGGAGGAGGAGGAGGAGGAGGAGGAGGAGGAAGACAGGGAGGGAGAGGAGAGCGCAGGGCAAGGGCGCTCACAATCTGGACAAGGCAGAAGGCTATGACCATGTAGGGGATGTACCTTACACACGAGTCAACACAAGGGCAGGAAGAGGATGGAGATCTCACTTGAACACAAGGTCGTGGAGAACCCCGGTGGACTCCGCAGGCGATGCCGCTGGTTGTTCAGCCTCCTGCGTGTCCTCTTTCTTCTCCTCTGCCCCCTTGCCCTTGTCCTTCCCCTGTTCGCATCGGTCACCCCATCCGACGCCCGCCCCCTTTTATTCCCCTCCCTATCCCTCCCCCCCGCATATCTCCCCGTCGCCGACGTTTTCGCCGCTCCTACCTTGCCCTTCGCCTCCTTGTCCTCCTTCTTCTTCACGGGTTTCGGATCCTTGGGGAAGACTTTTGATCCTGGTGCAGAAGCATCAACATTCGACGCAGTTGGACGGGGGAAGAGACAGACCTATCGTTGTCACAGCCATGAACGTGATGAAGAACGACCAGAACCTTGGCAGCACCACGAATGAGCAGGAGCAAGAGAAAGGAGATCAGATGCATGTCACCTCCAGTTCGTGTCGAATTTCTTGCTTCGCTCCTCGAACAGAGCAGGGTCCATGCCTTCGGGGTCGGGAGGAAGGTATCCCGCCTGAGATCATTACCTCACCCACTACTTCAACACTCTCCTTCTAGACATCCTCATCCTTAGCCATTGCCTCCCTAAATTCCTCCTAATCGTATGCCCTCCTCCTCCCTCCCCTCCCCTGTTCGCTCTCCCTCACGTTTTCTTCAGCTACCATTTTCACTGCACTGCTGTACTCCTTTCTCTCCTCTCCTCTCCTCTCCTCTCCTCTCCTCTCCTCTCCTCTCCTCCTTCTTACCTCTTTCAACATCTCCACCGCCTGTGTCATCCATGAAGCCATGTTTCCCTTTCCTTCTGAAAGGAGTCTCGGGGTTGGGTGGTCATTCAGTGTGGGTAGGGGTTAAATTTTGAGCAAGAAATAGGGGTAGTTTGATATCTGACTACATACCCTACCACTCCGATATCTGAATTCAAAACAGGAAAGGGTGGGTAATGAGCAGACGTAGTAGATGACTAGGGGTGGGTGACATTATGAGGGGGTCATATTCGATCGAGTCGTGTTGGGGTGGGGTCAGGGTACGGAAGCTTGCAAGCTGCCAGACCAGGCGAGTGAAAGAAATTACGAAAATGCAAC